CCCACCACTGTCCGCACCCCCACTCGGTTTTCGAGGGGGGGGGGGGAAGTTCGAACCGGTAGTGACCCCCCCCGGTTTTCCAAATCCGGAGGGGGGGGGGGGGGAGGGGTTCGAACCGGTAGTGACCCCACCCCTTTTTCATGATGACAGGGGGGGGGGGGGGGGGGGGGGGGGTGGGGGAGGGTTTGAAAGCCGAGAGTGACCCCGCCCCGGTTTTCCGTAGGGGGGGCGGTTAGGGGGAGGGGTTCGAACCGGTAGTGACCCCCCCCCGGTTTTCCGCCAGCAGCGGTAGAACACGCTCTTTCAGACCTCGCCATCCCTGGGGGCTGCGATTTGTGAAACTGTCGCACCTTTCGAGGGCTGCTGAGGGGCCCAGCACAGTGGGTACTCACCGCAGACTCAAATTAGACCTCGCCATCCCTGGGGGGCTGCGATCTGTGAAATTGTCGCCACTTTCAATGGCTGCTGAGGGGCCCAGCACAGTGGGTACTCACCGCAGATTCAAATTAGACCTCGCCATCCCTGGGGGGCTGCGATATGTGAAACTGTCGTTACTTTCGAGGGCTGCTGAGGGGGCCAGCACAGTGGGTACTTACCGCAGACTCAGATTGGACCTCGCAATCCCTGGGGGGCTGCGATCTGTGAACTGTCGCCACTTTCGAGGGCTGCTGAGGGGTCCAGCACAGTGGGCTTCTCGCACGTCTTCCTCGTGCTCTTCGTTCCCGACTCCCCATGTCTTCTTCGAGCCTGTAGCTGTCGCCCTTCTTTCTTGTATGGTTCTCCTGCGCACCATGCCATAGGCGCGTGTCCCAAGTAGCTTACATATCAAACAACGGATCCTGCAATGTGATTGTCCATGCAAGTCTCGGCCAACTCCTCGTTCCCCATGATACAAATGGGTTGGGTACGTCACAGTTTTTTGTTTTTGTTTTGTTTTCTATCTCTCTCTCTCTCTCGATACACGCGGACAAGGGGGTGCTCGAGTCGGCGGCCGATTGAGGAGGAAGAGGAGCAGAACGAGGAGGAGAAAGAGGAGGGCGAGGAGGGAAAGGAGGCGGAGGAGGGCGGCGCGCGAAGCACCATCATGCCATCAGGGAATCAGACAATCAGGAGGAGGAGGAGGAGGAGGAGGAGGAGGAGGAGGAGGAGGAGGAGGACCAGTGTAAACCCAAGAGTCACCAACGATGTTGGAACACGCCCTCCCCCAAACTCCCGCTTCACAAGCCCCTACAACGGTTCATTTCCGCAGAGGGACCTGCCTCGTTGGAAAACAACCGTTTGAAGACCCTGAAACATACCAGAGCATTGTTCACGGTATTCCAGCCCCACGGCTAAACCTGACTGCTGCGTCCTGATGATCCTGAACCATGCCATAACGCAATTTCTGGGACATCAACACTGCGAATCATCGTAACTGTTGCGCTCACACAATCGTGAATCTTTCAAAAAAGACCATTGCTGGTACGTCGATCATGGAAATCCGTGACACCCTTTGGACTGTGAAACAAGAATGTGCGCGACGCTACGGCGAGAACCACATTTTGAACAAGAGCCGCCCTAAATCCATGAAGCTCTTGCAATGCTTACAACGAATGTACGCGGCGCTCAAGCGACAACCACATTTTGAAACCGTTGCGACCTCAATCCGTGAAGCTCTTGCGAAGCTTGAAGACGAATGTGCGCGGCGCTAAAATGAGAGCCACATGTTGAAGGAACCGCCCTCAAACCGTGAAGCTCTTGTAAATGTTTATAACGAATGTTCGCGGCGCCACCGCGAAGGCCACATTTTGAACACGACCCGTCCTCAATCCGCGAAGGTCTTGCAATTTTTGAAAACGAATGTGCGCGGCGCTACTGCGATAACCACATTTTGAAAACCACCCGCCCTCAATCCGCGAGACTCTGGCAACTTTTGAAAATTTGTGCGTGGCGATCAGTCGAGCGCAACGTTTTGAAACCCACACACCCTCCATCTTTGAAGCCGTTGCCCGCGATTACGCTTCAAAGACATACGTGGCTAGGAGATCTCAGGCGGAACGCCCGACGCGCTCTTGAAAACTGGCCTTGGGGTGCGACAGGGAGAAATTATTTAGAAGGGGGAAACATGGAGACGGGAGGGGGAGGAGGAGGCGAAGGCACAAGAGGAGGAGGAGGAAGGATAACCCGCGAGGGGGAGGACGACGACGAGCGAGGAGGAAAAGGAGGAGGAGGAGGAGAAGGAGGAGGAGGGGCGAGGAGGAGGAGGAGCAGAAGGAGGAGACGCGAGGATGAGGAAGAGGAGGAGGACGAGCGAGGACGAGGGAGGAGAAGGATGAGGAGGAGTGAGTAGGAGGAGGTGAGGCGCGGCGGAGGAGGACAAGGAGGAAAAGGAGGAAAGGCGACAAGGAGGCGAGGAGGACGAGGAACAGAAGGAGAGAGGAGGGGCGAGGAGAAGAGGAGGAGGAGCGAGAGGAGAGGGAATAGAAGGAGGCGGCGGAGGAGGAGGAAGAGGAAGGGGCGG